AAGATCCGCTGCTGATGACGTGTCTGAACTGATGACGGCTAGGGTTTCTTCCAACTCTAAAAGATGCTCATATTGTGAATCGTTGGATCTCATTTTGATCCAACGCCAGAGATGCTGGTGGCTGATGCATAAGATGAAAAAAACCTAACTCCCATAGGGTTTTGACATGTGGGCTTCTCTTGTGTTGGGCCTAGTGGGAATTGTTTGTTGGATATGGTCTTGAATTAACTACAATGAACCTACAAAATAAATAATAATAACTACATAAATAATACTATATAATAAATATAATCTAATATAAAATGTGATACATAACATAATTATAATATATGATATATGATATAATATAAGTAAATAATATTATGTAATAATAATATTATTATAATATAATTGTAATAAAAATAATATTAAATAATAAATAATAAGAAATATTAATAGAAAAATATTAATACACTAATGGTATATGATATAAATAATAAATTAATTTTGGATGAAAATATGTGTCTACAATTGTCCCTCTTTGTTCGTTGACGTGTAATGAGATAGGGAAAAGATGAAAAAGACACAAATTTTCATTCGAAATCCCACCGAAATGTCTAAATCTTGGAGATAATAAATTCCTTTATTAGATATTTTTCACTCGCTTGCAAAGGTTGATATGCACTCTTCTTTAGGAAGGTTGAATAGTTCTTCTCATTATGAACTTTTGTTCTTCACGAAAATGGGTATACTTATACCAATTTGACGGATTAGGCAAGTTCTTCGTATTATGAACTTTCCATTGAAAATGATCCTCCTCTTTCTGTGATGAATTTGAGTGAAAGGTCGACAAACTCTTCTCATTATGAACTTCTTCTCCTTCTTTGATGAGTTCTTTTCATTACAAACTCTCTATTGGAAATATTGATCCAACTCCTTTTGTGATGTATTTAAACGAAAGGTCGAACAAGTTCTTCTTATTATGAAATTTTTCTCCCTTCGTAGATGAGTTCTTCTAAATATGAACTTCTGAATGAAATGTTAATCCACCTTCTTCTGTGATGGATTTGAGCGAAAGGTCGAACAAGTTTTTCTCAGTATGAACTTCTTCTCCCTCTTGGATGAGTTATTCTTATTTGAACTCTCCATTGGAAATGTTAATCAAACTCCTTCTGTGATGCATTTGAACAAAAGGTCGAACAAGTTATTCTCATTATGAACTTCTTCTCCCTCCGTGGATGAGTTCTTCTCATTATGAGCTCCTCATTGAAATGTTAATCTAGCTCATTCTGTGATGGATTTGAGCATAAGGTTAAACAAATTCTTCTCATTATGAACTTATTCTCTCTTCGTAGGCGAGTTCTTCTCATTATGAACTCTCTATTGAAAATGTTGATCCAACTCTTTTTGTGATGGATTTGATTATTTAAAATATGGATTGAAATCATTGTTAAAATTTACTCCTTCAGACTCAAAGTTGAAAATTAAAACCTTTGATGTTCCTTTTGAATTCCTATCAAAAGTATGCCAAAATGCACAAGATGCTTTGATGTAAATGGATGAATATGTACATATTTCATGAATGCCTAATTATGCATGTGTAACGCAATGTCATTTTTACAGGTTTAAATATCTTGTGGATCTTTTCTATGTCTCCATCCTAGAATTCCTCTAGTAGCCTATCTCAGACTCAACATTTCTTCATATTTTTAATCTAAAGCACTCTTTTAGGTTTTCACTTTAGATTCATTTTCTCAAAGTGCATTTTCAAATTTTCAATTTGATTTTTCTTTATTCTCATTTTCTCTTTTTTCCCTTACCAAAGATAGCATCGACATAATGTTATAATTTTTAACACTATCCTACATTAGCTCATTCAACTCATAAAAATATCATCGCATATCCTTCTACAATAAGTATTGAGGTTGCTCCCTAATTTGGATCCCCTTTACTTAAAAGGTTAGTTCAAATTTATACCAAGAAATCTTTCATATTCCTTAAAACCATGTCACCTTACTTGTAAGATACTTGTAAATGAAAACAGATCAAGGCTCAAAATGAATGACACTGGAATTCAAGTGATATTTACAAGAACTTTGAGAATGTTTACAGAGTTATAACAATTGAAACAAACAAACAAACAAATCAATAAATAAAGTTAGATGCCTCAATTAGTCATAGCGTGAATGTTTTTTAACTCATCCACCAGATACATTTCCGAGCTTCTGTATAAAAGGTCTCAAATGTTTGCTAAAATGTTTGTAGATGTGAAGTTCCTCCCAAAATACTAAGTTTCTCGATAAGGTTTGCTTGCGAGATGCCTAATCACAAAATGCATTTGAGCTGCCCTTTCGGGTTTTCAACCCAACTAATCCCTTTGGTCTCAAGACGCCTTTTGTGGATTTTCATCTTGAACCATCCTTTTATTTTTCTTTTTTCTCTTTTATTTTTTTAAGCGCAATATTTCTTGATAGAATCTGAGTTTATTGATTTTTTCAACTCCTCCCATCCATCTCTGTTAAGATCAATGCTCATCCTGAAAAGGCCTTCTTGACGATATATGGTCCTTCCCAATTAGACATCCATTTCCCACGGAAATCTTCATGAATTAGAAAGATCTTTTTAAGCACTAGATCACCCTCTTGGACGAACTTTCTTATCATAAGCTCGTATCATCTGCCTCTAGCACATCTGTCCATGAAAAATGGCTTTCAATCTCTTCTCTTCGATAAGATTCAACTGATCATACCGAGATTAAACCCACTCAACTTCGTCTAACTTTACTTCTCTCAAGACTCAAAGTGAAGGAATTGCGACCTCAATAGATAACACCGCTTCCATTCCATAAATCAGAGAAAAAGGTGTTTCCCCTGTTGAAGTATGTATTGTAGTTCGATATGCATACAAGGCAAAAGCCAACCTCTTATGCCAATCTCTATATGTATCAGTTGTCTTCGAGATAATCTTCTTGATATTTCTATTTGTCAATTTCACTACTCCATTCTTCTTTGGGAGATATGTTATTGAATTAAGATGTCTTATCTTGAACCGTTCACAAACTTCTGTCATCATTTCATTATTTAAATTAGTGACTAAAATATAATTTTTGAAAGTTTAGTGGCCAAATTAGAAACTTAGGAAAAGTTCAAGAACCAAAGTGGTAATTTTCCCAAAAAGAAATTTGATTTCATAAATAAATAGTTCACCTTTAAGAATGGATTTTCTATGGAATTTAGATTTATATCCGGAATTTGTGTAAAGAGCTATTAAGTGATAAAGTTCAGTAAAATATTCAGATAATCGGATTGAATCGAAAGTTTACAAAAATTTGAAGGAAGACAGTTTGCGGCTAGAAATATTATTATGATATTTTTAAACAATAGAATTTAATATGGATAAGTGGAATTAAGTGGAATAGTAGAATTTAAGTGACTAAATTGAGATTTTAGAAAATTGCAAGGGTAAACATGGAAATTAATAAATATGATTTTTATAATGATATAATGATGTAAGAATGGTGATGCAAGCATGACAAAATGGTAGATATCTTGATTCATTAAGGGCAGTAATGACTTTTGGATTAAAATAAATTTTAAATTCATTTTAATTAGAATCTATACAAGTGTACATAAGATATTTTATGAGAATTATCCAGAAAATTTTCTCCTTTTTCCTATATATTTCCGTGAACTACCTTAAATAAAAGCAATGTAAGTTTTCTTCATTTCTTCATTTTCTTCATTTTAAGCCATTTTCCTTTGATTTTTAGATTAATACATGAAATAGAAAAATAATCTATATCAATTTCTCTTTCATTTGATATTAATATTACATGATTTCCATGCTTGAATAATTAGTTTGGTTGTTAAAGTGGATGATGAACAAGTTGGATTTTGATGATTTAAAGATAAATTTTTGTGTTGTAAATATTATAGAGTTGTTTTCAAGTTTCAATAATGATCAAAATCAGTTAGAAATGTTTATGGAAAATATTGATTTTTGATTGATTTTGATATGAAATTGATTGAGATTGCATGAAAATGATGATAGGAACTTGAATTCATGCATATGCGTTCATTTGATAAGCTAATAAAATTAGTGAATAAGTTAAAGATGCAAATTAGTGAAATCTGCCTAAATTGGTAATTTGAATAGTAAGTTTATAAAATCACCATAAATTATACTGTTGAATTTGTAAATCAGTATATTTTTTAAACAAACAACTACTGATTTAGAAGTGTATACAAAAATATATCAATTTTTAACCGATTATAAGTTATAAATTTGGACAGCAGATTCTACTCAAAACAGATTATGTAAACTGGATTAGAGAATTCGTTAGAAATTGTATTAGTTGAATTAGAAAAAGTGCCTTATATTGTTAGATTCAAATTCGAGTCTAGTGAGATTAAAATTCATATGTTTAATTTTTTTAAATATTTGTTTTATGGTGTGAAGTCTCTTTCAAAATCTAAAATTTATACTATGTTCAATAAAATATTTTCTCGATTTTAATATATATTTTCATAACTTTGCATTGATTTTGGGCTTCGGCCTAAATTGACTTTCTTTTACTTTGGGCTAAACGTAATTCCAACCTAATGTTGGCTGAATAATTCAGCCTGAAATAGATACCCAATCCTAATTTTCAATTAATTAATTGTTTTTGAAATTGATTTTCCTGCACAATAAAATCTTTTAATCTTCGAAAAGCTTTTCATTTCTTCAGATTTCTTTAAACAAGGAAGCAAAACCAAAAATGGCGGGAACTGGTCCACCAAAAAATCTCCTCTCTCTAATCCGAGATTTCGCGTCTGAGAAGTCTCAAGGAGGTAACCATTTTCCTTTCTATATAACATACATCTTTTTGTTTGTTTCTTGAGAAAATGCTGGAAATGAAATGAGAACAAATTTGAAGTTTCCGGTCGGATTGAAGCTTTTCTTCTCTCTTATATTTTATTTCTCTACATTTTCTGTTCATAGTAAACGGAGATTTTTGTTTGAAATGTTTTGATTTTGACACGTATAGAGAGAAAACTCGTTGGCTTGAAGAAGCAAATCGAAGATCTCCGATCAGAGCTTGAAGCAGTGAATTCCGAGCTTGAAGAAGCGAAAAGTCTAAAAGAAACAACCGAGCAAGAGCTTAAAGGCTTCGAAGTTGAATTAGCTTTGAACGAAGCTTCGATTCAAGCCCTAGAGGTTCGAAGTTTTCCGCTTTATTTTTAAACTTCTCACTATATTATTTTAAAACTTTCCTTTTTTAATTTCCAAATTATTTGCAGGCCAGGATTGCTTTGATTCAAGATGAAATATCCACCATTGGATCTGAAATAGAGGATCTTAAGGTACTTAAACGACTTTGTTATTGTGGTTTGTTTTATCTGAATTAAAATTCTACACTTAATTAAATAAATACCTATTTATAAATTTTACATGGATTATTTGAAGAATAAAGAGGCAACATCAAGGTAAGGAGATCTTCTTCGTTATTTTTTTTCTTTTTAATCTCTTTATACTTCTAAAGAAGAACTTCTGATTCTATTTCTCGTTAATTCTGTACAGAGATGAGTTTATATGTCAAATGGTTCAGTTCAATACTAAGATAAGGTTTGGTGTAATTCATCTGAATCCTTCCTTAAGCTTGTGATTATATTCTTCTCTTCACATATACGTTGTAACTATGATCTAACTTTTCCATGAATGAATTATCAGTAATTATGAGTATTTCTTTCTTACCAAGGACCAGTATGTAGCTGTAGTTTTAAAGGAGGATTTTGGTTGAGGTAAAAAAGCCAATATGCTCATAAAAGAATTTTATTCTTTCATCTGGTATGGAAAAGAGATGAATGGAGTCCTGAAATAAGGATTGGGAGGACCTATTAACTAAAATATTAGTTGGAGTATATAGAGCAATGTTATTATTATTAAATTGATTCATTCTTTGCACCAATATTGAAGGATCTGTGATTTGTTGTGAATAGGGATTCTAAGAGTTTCCGATATGCACCCTTGTTTCTTACTCGTTAAAGATGATTTACTTATGATACGCTGAACACTTGTTACTCAGGAAATTCCAAGAGACAATAACTTCTGGTTTTGAGAACAAGAATATTGTTGGCAATGCATCAGGTTATAACCTTTACAATCATCCTGTTTTTTCGCCTCATCAGTTTTTCGAACTATTTTAAAAGATTTTCCTTTTGCATTGTTTTCCATCTATACTAATCTTATTTAGGGCGTCAGATTTGTTTTACCTACTTTTAGTGATAAAAAATCGTATTGCTTCATGTCTATGTGGCTTCAAATATAACAGTTTGATATTCCCTCCATATTGATAACTTCTAATCTTTACTAGACAAAACTATAACTTTTATGGCTTATGCTTCTTATTGCATGACCTATCACACGTCAATATCCAAAATCTTGTTTTCTACTAATAATGATGATTGTCCCTTGTTCCCATATAATAGTGTAAGGGGAGGTAAGATAGTAGGCTGCCCCCAACACTAGGTTGAGAGCAATTTCCATAGAAGACCTCCGAATTATGAAATGCCCTCCGTGGGACTCGATCCCACGACCTCAAGGTTAAAAACCTGGTTAAAAACCTTGTTTTCTACTAATAGTTTATCACAAATACCTCTGTTTTTTAAGGCAGTTAAGCTTAAGCAAACTTTAATAATAAGCCGTTTCAAACAAGTGCCTTTATGGATTGCCCATCTGGGCAATTCACAAATAATAGTGGCTATGCTTTAGATTTAAAATTTATACAAAATTTAACTGATATTTCCAAATTCCGACCTCTTTAGTTTTCTCCCTCACTCTTTCCTAGGTAAAAAAAGAAGAAGAAATGTTTACCTTTTTTTTTTCTTTCAGAAGAGGACCGTAAATTTGTAAAGAAGGAGGTCACTAAAATTGCTTCAAGAACTATAGAGGATCAGCTTGCTCACGTTGTTTCTCAAATAGCTAAAGAGGAGGAAGAATACCTTGCGGAACAGAATACCCAAAAAAAGGTAACTAGTCTTATGTGGACTACAAATATCACTAATAGGATACACATACACTATCAAATGTTTAGATGTTCTTAACTTAGTTGCTTAAATTATGTGAGTCTTTGTTGCCAAAGTTTTACTAGAAAGTAATCTGAGAATGATCAAGTGGTCTGAAAAACATGCAGCTTCAGCTAGAGTTGACTGACATTGAAAGGAAGGCGGCTCTGATGGATGGAATGAAGCGGGAAACAAAAGCTCTAGAGGACTTGACAAGATATCCTTATCTAATTTGCCCTAGGAACTGCACATTGAAATTTCATCGATTAATCATGAAGTCTTGATTAAAAAGCAGTACGTGAAAGAGAAAATTCCATGTGCATGTTATGCTAATAAATCATACATCAACATTACTATTAGGTGTGCTTAACACACCTAAACACAGATTGGGTTGATCGCTTTGTATATCTGCAATTTATACAAGCTGTTTTCCTCACAAGTTAATTCCCTATTTTGTTATCAAGAAAATAATGGGAAAGAAAAAAAATCTTGAAACTGATAACTATTAGAAGTTGAAATCTTATGTTAATTTACTTGTATTCTCATAGGCCTAGGAGTCAAGAAGGTCATTCATCTGTGGATCTTTCCATTTCTATAGATTTTATACATCTCAATACATGCAAGGTTAGACAAAGTATATATTTGAATTTTTATGCTGGCTTTTGAATTCTTTTTCTTAACATCTTCTGTGAATTAAAACTATTACTTGTAAAATAGCTCCTTGACTGGAAATAAGCAGACTTCCGAACTGGAAAAGACGTGTGCTTCCTTCAATGAAGAGTTGCAGAAGAGGTGTATATGTCCTGGTTGTCAAACAATTAATGTGGAGGCATTGGGTGGAATGCTTAATGAAAATGATTCAAATTGATATGTTGCAAGTATATTACATGCCAACATTTCAGCCATGGTATTGATGTCTTCAAATTTTATTTGCATAAGAACTTTTGCACTACATTTATGGCATTTGATCATATGGCATGGCCAAAAAAGGTTTGCTAAACTCTACATAAGGGATAGAGATGTAGTATGGGTTATTCATTAATGCAATAGGTATGAAAGAATATTCCATGTTTTGTACCCATTTTTACATTCCAAAATTTCATATATAACTGTTTCAGCTGCTGACTGGCAACATCTAAGAATGATTGCAATGTTTGATCCTGCGATTCTTTCTTTCTTTCAAATATCTCCTTTTGTACTGAATAAGAGGTATGGTGTATCTTAGTTATTACTGTATGTTCAAGTTTTTAGGAGCTTTACTTTGCATTTACTGTATTATAGCACTAGGTTTCATCTGTGGATCCAACTCGTAACTAAACCATGTCTAACAAAAAGTAAGATATGAAAGAGGTTTATGAAATAATGATGCCTCCTCAAAGCTGGTATGCAGTAAAAGAATTTACTGAATCCTCTCTGATATGGTATGGTTTAACTACAAATTTTGCATGTGTGTTGAAGATGCCTCGGTATCCTTTACAATCAAAGATAGCAATGTAGATTTGCCTTCTTCTTTGTTTCCACTCGGCCCCTGTAATGAAAACACTATCTATCAAGCCATGATGTTATCTACAGATTTTCCGAACTTAATTCAAAACTAACTGGACTATGCATGCATTGTTGTTACTACGTAGGAAGACATATAATGTCATGCTATAGTAAGAATGAGGATAACTTACGATCTGTTCTGGAGGCATAACATTAGGAAAAGTGTCCTTATCTAGAAATCTTGAATTGGAGGATTTCATGACTTCTATCTGTGTTGAGAATAGGGCAGAGACTGGTCGATGATCAGAGAACTTACTTTCACTGCGAAAGTAGGATAAAAGTTTCACTCCTTTCCCATACCACAAAATTCTATCACACCTGCAACCAGACACGAATATCGATATTGCTGATAAGATAGTCATAAATCCAGGTTATGTTTGTGGAATTCTTTATTTTCCATAAGTATTCATTTCCGCCACTTATGCCTGACACATATTAGGATATACATTTGGGTGTGATCCTCGAAATATATGAAAAAACTTGGAAAACCAACATTCACCTCAAGCCCAGGAAAACTAGCTTACATATGGTGACTATGTGCCTAATTGCCGATTGTAGTAGTGATAAGAATTTTATGCTGCAAAAGGTAGATGATCGCAAACCATTTTACCATGCTGGAGTCCTTTGTTTCTCTCCTGATCTGTTGGGAAGGCCACCCGAGTACCGATTGCAATTTGATGAAGAATACTTGTATGTTGGTGCAAAATTGATGTTCCCCTCTCTCCAACCTTCAAACACTCCTCCATCTTCTTGTTCCTTTCGAAGCTGATCGAATTCCTGCAATGCCTTCCAGTCCTGCTTCTTTATTAAATATCGAGCTAAATTGTCTTCCAATTCTAACCGATAGTTGAGGTCTCCGAACCAGAATATCTGACTGTCTTCACAAGAATTATAATCATGGAGTTAGGATTCTTCATTCAACTAATTTGAATAAACTTTATATTGTCACTTTTGTGCAACTGTTTTCCATTTAGAGCTAAAGTGTACTGTAAAAACCAGGTTGAAACTAGAAATTCATTAGCATTTTAGGGGACAGTTAATATGTTGAAAATTTTGGTTAACAACTCTATCTAGTATGGACCAATCTTATTCATCCTTGTATTTTTGTTAAATCTTTTGATTGTCTTTTAAAAAAAAATCACTTACTCATGTCCTAAGATGGTGAGAGGATGAGGATTGTCATCGTCTTTGGCTGACCGAGGAAAAGAAGTTCGCTTAAAAATCTCTGAAACTTGACGATTCCTTCGACCTTCATCACCATTCTTCTCACCCGAAGCCAAGTGAGCAGCAATGAAGCAGAAGCTGGTACCTTCAATTGACATACTAACAGAAACTGAACCTTTGTTTCCTAAAAAGCCCATGATTCCACAAGCCACTGAGCTGACTTTCCCATTTGAAACACAATATTTCTCGAGCAATTCCTTCTTCATCCACACACTAATGAAAACTCCAACCATTTTCTTGCTTGCCATCAGCTTGTATTTGCTGCCACGGAGAAATAGTTGCTGATGTCGTTGAGTTTTTGACCTTGCTCTCATCCGTATACTATCAGTTATGCTACTGAAACTTGCTCTTCTTTCACTATCAGGTACTTTCACATATTGGTAATCTTCACACGAGATTGGATTCAACACGGGAGTCAACCAAGGGGCACCGAATTTTTCATTAAGTGTTTTTCCTATTAACAAGTTCCAATTTGTTGCTTCAGTTGGATCTTCTGCTCCGATCACGGTTCGAGTTTTCAATGGTACGATCTCTTGAAATCTGCTGGTCAATAATTTTTAAGTCAAATTACTGATCTATTCTTTCTTTTTTATTGTGAATAGCCTATATAGCATTGCACCATTCTTGATTTTTTTGACTTGTTTCGTACCCGAGAACATAGATATCAGCAGCATCCTGGGGTTTTAGCCACTCATGTAAATCAACAGCTAAGCTTCCTACAGGAGATCTTCCAGCAACATTCCAAGTTCCCACAAAAATTCTAAACCACCATGGAAAAACGGTTAGCTACCCCCTTTTTGTTTCCTTAACTGCATTAATCCTTTTTAAAACACACCTTAACTCATTGGTTGAAGTGCATGGATCCATCTCAAACGAACTAATGTAAACATCTTCCATGAAACAATCATCTTCATCTTCATCTCCATCCGCAAGAAAAACATTTCCAGCATTCAAATCTCGAAACCAATAGAAAAATCCCATAAAAATAAGCAAAACCAACAAAACCAATGATGATCAAATAAGTAGATAGAAATGATTTAAAAACCTGAAAGTACATCCAGGTCGTGGTAAGGATCAGGTTGCTTGTGCTTGTGCTTCCTTTTGAACCATCTGTGGAATCTCCCAGAGCTTGAGTTTGGGTTCATGTTATCCATTATAACTCCTAAAGGAACTCAAATCCATACCAAAATAACACGTACGCACCCTGCAAAAAAAAAACGGGTGGGGGGGGGAAGAATTAGGATAATACTCAGAAGCTTATTGCAACTTCCTCTATAATAGAAATATAAAAATATAATGTCGTTTTGTTTTCATTAATATTGTTGTGTTCATCGCCTGATAGCAAGTAGATGAGCTAGAACGAAGTTTAAAACAAGGAAACAAACTTAACGAAGCTTAGACATTATTAATTGAAGCGATAATTCCCAAGAGATTGAAGTACACGAGAGAGGGACAATGGAAAAGAAAAGTGTAGGTTTGGAAAGTTGATGAGAAGAAACTTCCTTAGCTATATTATCTTTGGGTATATGCTCGAATTATTTCCAAACTTAAATGTGCCAGGAAGCCGAATCAATCGGACTTGTGATCTTCGGCTCAATAAGTTGAATCGGTCATAAAACTATTGTGTTGAAAATCATTGTATCAAGTTGGTGAATTGAGATGCTTAACTTGAGACATGCACAAAATATAATATCTAAAAATAAATGGTCTTAGTTGTTGAAAATAGTAGAGATTTTGGGTTTAACCAGTTGTACATACGAGTGTGTTGTCAATTAATAATTTTTTTAAATATATATTATCTTATACTATTAAAAATATATAATTTTCTAACGTTTTATGAATAATTATATTTAGCAAAATCCACTTTGTAGATCCGATTAAAATCCCCATTTATTGCATTATCTTCACAATTGGTTAGTCTTTTAAAATATATATATATAAATAAATAGAGGGAACAACCAACAAATTTTACATTAAGAATGCTACGTAATTACATATTATCTGTCTCGAGGATCAATATCTTATGTGAATTAAGATATCATAAATTAATTACTATATTACTTATAATACTAAAATTATATTAAATATAATAAAAATAAATTTCAATCTTTAATTTAATTATTTATTCCTTTTGAGGCAGTTCTATTATTGTGAAACCTAAAATACAGCTGAACATATAAAATTGATGGCCATAAGTAACCTAAATTTATTTTGCTTTGTTTTTCAATCCCCCGACTGTGGGGAACATTATGAGGGGTTGACCCTAACAGAAAACCGAGTCAACACTTTGCAAGCAGTCCAAAAAATGCAGAGAGCAGAATGGCCCATCTCAGTTATGGCTACACCACCCACTTGCACGTTTTGATTTGATATCTTCCTCTTTGTCAACATATAAAAAAATCATACTTATTTATAACTTGGAATTTATTTCTTTAATACTTCAATTTTATATTGGTAAAACTAAAACCTATATAATATATAAAACTATCTGTCCTGTAAGTTCTTTAAAAAAATGTTCTGTACTATAAATGAGATAAAATAATAATAATAACACAATCCCACTTATAATATTTTTTATTGGTGTGTAATTTTTTTTTATTAATATAAGGTAAGTATAAAATAATATTTGTTTAAAGATAATTCTCAACTTATGATATTTTTTATGCTCGAACATAAAATTTCAAAAAATAATAATAATCCATTTATCATTAAAATCATTTGATTTGTATTCGGTGTGCGAGATTATTTATTATTGTGTGCGACTTGAAATCCGTTTATTTTTTCGTATTAACGATCTCGTTGATTACCCTAAAACATTCACTTACTGCCTGAAGAAGAAAATTCGCTCTTGTTTTTGATCCAGTTGGTCACATGCAAAATGTCGCCAAGCAACTCTCACCGTCCTCAGCTTTTTCTTCCACAGCTTTTTCTAGGATAAATGTGTATAGATACCCCCCCACATGTATGTATGTGTTTACATTTATAAATTTGAATTATATTTTTTTAGAAATTAAAATGTAATTTTAATATTATATGGACTTCTAATTTTACAATTTTTAGAAGATTTAAATTATAATTTTGTTT